CCATTTATAAGTACTAGATTAATTATCTACGTCTATGCTAAAATGCAACCTTCAGAAGCCTGTTATTGCACATGCAATACTAAAATTATTGTTATTTCTGAAACCTTGATATAACCCACAATACAAGACTATATCATTACAATCCATCCCTATTCATGCATTAGTTGAGTAAATTGCAATTTATCTAAAGAGTCAAAAAATGTATAGACATGAAGTTATTATGGTTTCCCTTGCAACTTTGGGTTTCACTGACTTAAAGCCATTACCATTATCATCATTTACTGCCCACCTAATTTTCCATCTTTTTTACATACTGATATTACTCGCTTCCTAGGAATTGCCACTAAAAATAAAACTTTGAACTATTGGTTCTTGGATACATCTTTGTGAATTGACTGGATCCCAGGCATAACAAGTACATGGAAGATAGTAGAATCCAAAAGATACCTACTTTCACAGACCTATTTATAATGGCTATATAAACGCTACTTTTGTAAAGTGCATTAGCAATTCTATTAAAAATTAGCACCATTTCATTGTGAAGCATTTAGTATACCTGTAAAGATAAAATAAAAGTTAAACGTGAGGAATCAAAATTGTAAACAGTTTTAAAAATGCTATGTTAAAGTAAATGTGTACAAATCAATCCATTATTTCATACAAACAACACTTTCACAATTAGCAAGTTTTATTTAATACACATTTTACTTTGTAATGATGTAATAAAGTACTGCAATCAAAGTGAAAAACAAATTGATTCAGACATTAGGGAGTGGAACATATTTATCCTTACACCAATGTTTGTCTTACTACTCACAAAGATTGTGTATTTTTTTGCTGTATATTCATGATTTGGACACTCAGTTCTTTGGACTTCTCTAAGCTGGTCTGAATGGAACAAGAGCACCAGGAATAGCGGCAGTAAGGTAAGATGGAAGCAGACTCATCTCCAGCTGGTTTGATCAGGCAGCTACAGTAGCGGCACTATTTTTGTGCTAAACCTTTTTATTTTATTTTGGTCCCATTGGTATTCTACTTTAATAGTTGTGGTTAAATTCCTACAAAAGATAAATACTATTGTAAATATTTTCTTAAAATATTGTTATGTAAGTTCAATATATGTATGTATTTTTGTCTACTTATCTAATTGTATTTGTGATTTTCTGGATCTTTCCATATTTACCTCTGTCTCAGGAAATATGTGCTGAACATAAGTGACATAAACAAATGGTGTACAACGGTGTGGTACCACTCAGAGTAATGTGAAAGAATCCCCAGGGAAAAGTATGGGCATGCTGTGATATATTGTATGTATATTTACAGTTCGTGATCTATGTGTACATTATCTAATATACCATAGACTGTATACATTATAGCTTATTAAGTGAGCCCATACTTTTCACTGGGGATTCTTTCACATTACTCTGAGTCACACCACACTGTTTGCATCACAGCTTGTACACCATTTGTTTATGTCACCTATGTTCAGCATATATTTCCTACACCCTCTACTTCTCACCCAAGTGTTTAACATTTGGGCAATTAATACTATTCCCAGTGCAATTCTCCTGATGTATTTTATGTATTATATTTAGCATATGTAATATATGTTTCTTACATCATCAGTTCACTTTGGTACATCAGCTTTCAGTAAGTTTGGTTGTATATTTGGTTACCTAGCAACGACGGCAATTGCACGCACGCATGTCACGTGGCTTGCTGGTGCACTTCTGGGTTTGAATGGAATCGGGCTTCTCTCTCTTATACAGTTGATTGGTAAGTTTATTTTACTTATTCCTATATATTTGTATTTTTCACACTTCATTGTTGATCTTGAAACAGACCTGCCAGGGTTGAAATGTGGATCAGGTCACAGAGCTCGTTTGAATAAACACTTTGATTAAGGCGTATGAGTGCACTCCTTTACTTTTGGAATATATATATGTGTGTATATATATATATATCATTCTGTCAAAAATAGAAAGTAATAATCTGATATTTTGGGGAGATAGTTTGTATATTTTCAATACATTCTCATATCTGTCTACATTTGATAAAACTGCATATTAAAGTTTAGTATAGCTGAAATAGATAAAGAATTATTAAAGACTGAGCTTTAAAAAACATATATTTTCATTGTACATAATATCTTTGCAAGGCAAATATTTCAAATGTTTCTCAAGAATAGATCTGAAAGATATCAATGACCATTTTTACATGTATTTTAAAGCTTTATATATTTGTTTTTTACCTTGCCAACATTTGTTCATCACTTGGACATAGTGATTTGCCCAAGGTCACAAGTTGCCTTTTCCTCTAGTTAATCATTTATCTATCAAAAATAGATTCCATCTAGATAAGAAATAGGATCACTGGCTTTAGAGTGTTACTTTTATTACAAACGTTAATAGAGAATTGACAAAAAGAGAAAGCAATCCACAGTTTCTATAAACCATAAAAAAAGAAACATTCTCAATTAAATGTTGACTTATTAAAAAAATAAGCAAAATCATTTAAAATATAAAAATGCCTAAAAATAGCTTATCATCTTGCAACTTAAGGACACTAAATTTGTTTTAATTACAATGTTTAAATGTTGTACTAGATTAAAAGTAAGTCAGCAGCATTTTATCAACAGATATAAACAAAACTTGGATCAATGCAACTGGACAGAACCTCAAATATTAACAATTTTATACTTAGGTCAAATGTTTCTATAGAATTAAAAAGTGCCACTTTGTAAAAAAAATGTATATAAATATTATAATGGTAATATTATCATGCTTTTATGCAATATGATTCATGAAAAATTTAATATGAATATCATTAAAATGTGTTCATTATTAAAAAAAGTTGATTCTTAAAACTCTGACTTTTGGTCCACCCTGAACAAAGAAATATTTTTAGATTTTCGCTCTACCAACAAAGCATACAGTTGCAAGAAAAGTATGTGAACCCTTTGGAATGATATGGATTTCTGCACAAATCGATCATAGAATGGGATCTGATCATCATCTAAGTCACAACAATAGACAATCACAGTCTGCTTAAACTAATAACACACAAAGAATGAAATGTTGCCATGTTTTTATTGAACACACCATGTAAACATTCACAGTGCAGGTGGAAAAAGTATGTGAACCCTTGCATTTAATAACTGGTTGAACCTCCTTTGGCAGCAAAAACTTCAACCAAACGTTTCCTGTAGTTGCAGATCAGACGTGCACAACGGTCAGGAGTAATTCTTGAGCATTCCTCTACAGAACTGTTTAGCAATATTCTTGGGATATCTTGTGTGAGTCGCTTTCTTGAGGTCATGCCACAGCATCTCAATCAGGTTGAGGTCAGTTGGGATGAGGTTTTAATGTTGGTGTGCTGTGCCTTTTTTTTGCCACATATAGTGTTGTGTGTTTCTTCCAACCAACTCAACTTTGGTTTCATCTGTCCACAGAATATTTTGCCAGTACTGCTGTGGAACATCCAGGTGCTCTTGTGCAAACTGTAAACATGCAGCAATGTTTTGTTTGGACAGCAGTGGCTTCTTCTGTGGAATCCTCCCATGAAATCCATTCTTGTTTAGTTTATTTACTTATTGTGGATTCGCTAACAGGGATGTTAGCATTTGCCAGTGACTTTTGTAAGTCTTTAGCTGACACTCTAGGATTCTTCTTCATCTCATTGAGCAGTCTGCGCTGTGCTCTTGCAGTCATCTGTACAGGACAGCCACTCCTAGGGAGAGTAGCAGCAGTGCTGAACTTTCTCCATTTATAGACAATTTGTCTTACCGTGGACTGATGAACAGCAAGGTTTTTGGAGATACTTTTAAAACCCTTTCCAGCTTTATGCAAATCAACAATTCTTAATCGTAGGTCTTCTGAGAGCTCTTTTGTGCGAGGCATCATTCACATCAGGCAATGCTTCTTGTGAAAAGCAAACCCAGAACTGGTGTGTGTTTTTTATAGGGCAGGGCAGCTGTACCCAACACCTCCAATCTCATCTCATTGATTGGACTTATTTTGTAAACCTTGGGAAACGAAGCAGTGTTTTGTAGTCCCGATTGCCTCCGATTATACATATCCATATCTTCCATATTATATTGGAGAATTTCAATAGAGGAATATGTAAGAATTGAATCTGAAATCACTAAGTTATTTTTTAAGGTTTTTAGTGTATCAATAGAGTTGAGCGGACACATGTTTGGGTCCGGCGGGTTCGGCCGAACTTTGAAAAAAATTCCGGGTCCGGGCTCGAACTTGACCCCCGAACTTGACCCCGAACCTGAACCCCTTTGAAGTCAATGGGGACCTGAACTTTTGGGCACAAAAATGCTTCTAAGAAACTCCTGGAAAGGGCTAGAGAGCTGCAAAAGGAAGTAAAATGGGGGTAAGAGTAGGACAAGTGCCCTGCAAACAAGTGTGGATAGGGAAATCACTTAAAATAACATAAAATACCTAAAAATTAAAAATACAGCTGAGCCATAAAACGGCACTAGATGGAATCTTTGATTTGATCTTTGAAAGAGAATAAATCAAAATCTAAAGCATGGCTGGATCACCAGAATTATCAATTTGAGAGAGGGTTGGAGTGCAGGGTATTCTCTTTCATTGTTCAAACTGAGCTCAACTCCTGATGCATGGAGAAAAGGCCTTCACAAGCCTCTGTGTACATAATTTATACTAAGTGACCCATAGGTTGAGGAGGCGGTGACCGTGGCGGTGTATGTGGAAGCGGCGGTGGAGGATGAGGTAGCAACACTGTTTTATATATATATATATATATATATATATTTATTTTTTATTTTAATTGGGGTAGCACCCAAAATATTGGGACATACAAAAAAAAGAAACATTTGCGGCCTGCGGTGCATTTCTTGCCGTCCTGATGCATGGAGAAATGCTCAACTCCTGATGCATGGGGAAAAGGCCTTCACAAGCCTCTGCTATTGTGTACATAGTTTATACTAAGTGACCCATAGGTTGAGGAGGCGGTGACCATGGCAGTGTCGGTGGAAGCAGCGGTGGAGGAGGAGGAGGTAGCCAACACTGTTTTTTATATATATATATATATATATTTTAATTGGGGTAGCCCCCAAAATATTGGGACCGCAGAGTAACTGTTGACATTATAGTTGCACAGGCACGTTGTTGACTCTAGAGAACCTCGGGCTAATCACACATCCCCGTGACGGCGACTTTGCATGCGGATGTCATCCATATCAGTTTCTGCACCTACCATGGTGATCACGGGTAACGGGGAACCAGGGTTCCATTCCATACAGGGACCCTGAGAAACAGCTACCACATGCAAGGAAGGCAGCAGGCACGCAAATGACCCACTCCTGACGCGGGAACGTAGTGACGACAAATAACAATACAGGACTCTTTAGAGGCACTGTTATTGTAATGAGTCCACTTGAAATCCTTTAACTCTGATCAATTGGAGGAAAGTCTAGTGCAGAGCCACAGACTCGTGCGTGCTGCAGCTGAAACTCCACTATCGCCTGCTACTGCTCGCACAGTCTCATGAGGCAGTGAGTGGGAAGGCCGAAGTTACTCTGCAGCACAGGCAGGCGAGCAGCAGCAGGGTGAGAATGCCCAAAGCGCGCACAGCCGCTACAGTGAATGTCACATCCTGTTTCAAGTTGCGGATAGGTCTGGTGATGGCTATCCAGTACTCTTTTTACTGAAGCTGCATCAGGGTCCTGGTATGTGGCCGCACAAACGCTGGTGCTCAACACCAGGGGGCGTGCGGTTACCCTGCACCAGACCCTGCTAATCCATTCCACACTGTGACTCCTAACTTCAACATCAGGCATACTGGGTCCCGGTCGTATGTCCGCCGCCCAGACAGTGTCTGGGTCCTGGTCACCGGACTGCCCACCTGACTGTGAAACTACAAATGGATCGTTAAATCTGGTACTGACCTGAACTTTGCAGTTTGGGTTCGCTCAACTCTATTATGGATCCTTTGATCGATACATGTATTACTTGGATAACTGGTAATTCTCAAGCTAAAACATGCCGACGAGCGCTAGGGGATGGCCGCTTCGCTTTTGCACCCTGCTCGCTCTTATGCTGTGCTGGTGCCTTTGTGCGACCAGCGCCTCTTCCTCCAAACTGCACACATCACTCGCATGACCTTGATTCCATGTGGGGTCTGGGACCTCATCATCCTCCACATCATCTTCCACCCACTCCTCAACCCTGCCCTCCTTGCCGGTATGCACATTGCAGAAAGCCACAGCAGTTGGCACCTGCGTTTTTCCAGCATGTAAAGTCTGCTAAGGACATAAGGAAATTGTTTTAGAATTGTATCCAGTTTTCCCTTTAAACTGACCTCTCAGTTTGACTTGTAAGGGTATTGCCCCAGAATTACAATATTGTCTAAGTACCTCTTAGCTATTGATAACTGGATTAAATATAGCAACATGTTATCTGGTAGTTTCTAGTATAGAAAATATCAATCCGTTTTCTATCACATAGATCTGTGTAACAAGTGTTGTTGGTGTGAAACAATATTACAAGTGACCGATGTAGTAAATTAAAATCAAAGTTGACTCTCAGATATGAAGTGCACAACCCAAATATACTATTTAGCAAAAAAAAAAAAAAACATTGACTTTTTAAAACTCCAATGTAAGCAGCAGATTAGCAGCAAAACAATTAGAATGTTTACCACTGCGCTGTAAGCACACTATTAGACGCTTCTATTTGACTCTCAGATATGAAGAGCAGGCCCCAAAATGTACTATTTAGCAGATTAGCAGCAAAACAATTAGAATGTTTACAACTGCGCAGTAAGGGCACAATTTGACACTTCTATTTGACTCTCGGATATGAAGTGCTCCGCAGGCCGCAAATGTATTATTTAGCAGATTAGCAGCAAAACAATTAGAGTTTTTTTTTTTTTAATTCTTTATTTTTTATTTTTCATGTGCTCAGGTTAACAACAAGCACGCAGAGCCATGACAGCTTCTGCACGCATTTTCATAACATTTTGCAGTGTAAACAGCACATTTTTTATATGAAACATGAGGAATACAGGCAGTTAAACATAAAGGTAGTATAGTTGAACATGTGAGACTGATCGTTCTTTTGACATGACTAGTAGCGCTGCGGTTTGTAAGTCTAAAGCATTGCATTTATAAGAAGGCATTACAAGTGCGAGAAAAATACAATCTAAACCGATTAACATTTCTTAGGTTGGGGTCTTGAATGTCTGATTAAGGTACATGCTTTTAAATGTTAAGTACACAGGCCGGTTGCCCGTAAGGCTAGTTAGACAAGCCAATCTAAAGCAGCGATTATGAGATTACTTGCTGAGCATAGGCATGCCAGGTCAAGTAGATAAAACATTGCTGGTAATAAAGAGTGTCATCTATACTGTAGCTGATTTACATCATTTAAACATTAGGATAAACAGGAAAGGTAAACTAGTAACATGGCTCATTATGATGCCGTGGGTAATCATGCAGTGGTTAGTAAAGGTGGTAAGCTGTAGTTAGCGTTAAGTCTGCTTTGTGACAGCTGGGTATTGATCGCCCTGTGAATGCTCTTAGGGAGCCGTTAGTGTAATGTCTTTGCAAGAGAGTTGGTGTTCATTATGTGCTGTCTGTTTATCCTATGCCACGTATGAACATATGTCAGTGTGTAGTAATGAGGGAAAAGATTGAGCTTTAACGTTTCTAATTGATAGCATGAAAATGCATGCATTTTAAGTTTAGGCAGGTAACTGGTAGCTTCAACAGAAATATCTCACTATCACCCACATCTCTATATAAGTAGCCAGGTTGCGAGCTAGTCATGTATGTCTGTTTATATAGATCGATCGAGTCTACTTTTGGAGTGAGTTGTCTAGACATATGAGTGATTAAGTGAACACAGGGTTAACAACGTGCTTAGGGAATGTGGGGTGTGTGTAGATAGTGAGAGACCTAAGGTCACACGTTTATAGCCTAACAGGGTGGACGCTTAAGTGCGTTTTGTGCATTGCGTCAAGTTACAGCGTCAGGGTAAAATGGTGGTCGTCAATATCATGGGGGGGTTCAGAGTTAGGCAACACAGTCCCCTGTCCTTAACCAGATTCTGGCTCAGCCCATCTCCATATTTGGGGAGCTCTTGGGGTCTGTGAAGAGGTGGGTATTTAAGTGGAAGGAGGAGCTTAGTGTCAGCAGTCCAGGTTAGGGTTGTTACATTTCATCCATATAAAGTAAATGCAAAAAATATATTTCTGGGGCAATAACTAAAGTGCTGTATATCTTAAGGGTTCATCCTATCCCCAGTCTCGTCTTCTGACCCCTTTGGCTTGTGAAAGTCCCAGTGAATAGGCCGCTGGGTGAAACCTCAACCCTGTGTCCTGGAGAGGCCGCCCCCGGCACCTCCGGTGTTGTGAAAGTCCCGCTGCTAGTAGGCTTAGTGTGGTCCGTTATAATGTGTTATGTAAGGATTCGTTGGTGGCCCTCACAGTGTAAAGTAGCTGCATGCAGACAGAGCTTGTTTTTAATCTTCCTATTATGTTGCTTAATACTCACTGAAGTGGGCAGTATACAGCCTCAGTGTTATCCTATCCTATTTTGCTAGATGACCGGTATCTAACAGGCTAGAAGTGCGTATACTGAAGGTGGTCATTCTTAAGTTGTGTGTTCCCCGAAAGGCATGTGGCGTTACGTCGGGAGAGATCAGAGGGGTGAAAAAAAAAAGGGGAGGGGGGGGTTGCCCTCTCGGCACTTTTCTCTATACAGTGGGTAATTAGCAGATTGGGTCTGTTGTGGGAGGACATAAGCTTAAGTGGTTCTATCTGTAATAGATAGCTTTGCGTGGCGTCCCTACCGCAACATATGTTGGTAAATCAGTCGTGTATCTTAATTATTACATATACAACACATGCGTCTTTTACTATACAGTGTGGGAGGTTAGGTTAAAATGGCTCAGGGGGGATCTTATGAGCGTCTCAGAGGTGTCTACTGGAGTGACACTCATTCAGCGTTCAAAGATTATGTAGTCCCTGGGGTTCTGTGCGTATTAGGTGGTGACCGCAGCATACGATTCAGGGGTCAAGCCTCTTGGGATAAACGGGTTACTTTTTGCCGGGTCCCAAATCTGCGCTGGGGTGGTCGGGTGAAGGAGTCTTTCCTGAGTGAGCGAGGTCTGTGGAATGCCCAGAGTCCGCAGGAGGTCAGGGGCTTCTTGGATGTCGTGGATCAGATGAGAGACCGTTCCTTGCTGAACACTGAGGGTCCTGGGGTTCCGCCAGCGGTAGCTGATTTCTTGCCATTGGAGCAAAGAGGTGAGCGGCCGGAGCGATCTGCGCCAGGCCAGGGTGTCACCCGACAGGTCAGCAAAGAAGGTCAGTCCCCTGTTTTCAAACTGCATGGGGGTTTTGCCTCGGAGGGCCGTGAGAATTGTTGCTTTTTCTTTCCCATTTCGGAAGGTGATTATAGTGTCTCTTGTGGCCGAAGGTGGTGCTCTGGGGGGTTTAAGGATCAGAAATTGGTCCACAAGGGTGATGGCTTTAGCCTGTCCGTGTGGCAATATGGCCGCTATCATGTGCCGTATAACGTGTGGTAGGTCGGTCTCCGGTATCTCATCTGGGAGCCCTCTGACCTTTAGATTTTGCGGCTCAAGAGAGGATACTCTTGAGCCGCAAAGCGGCGTTCGTGTATCTGGTTCTGCCTTTGTAAGACCTGTACCGCCTTTTGTAGGGACGATAGGTCCTGCTGGTGTCCTTGTGATGTTGTCTCTAGTGTGCTGATGCGGCCTGTCAGGCCCTGCAGTTCTCCCCTGAGGGCAGTTACGTCCGTCAATATATTCTTTTGAAGATCTGCCAGTAGGGCTTTCATAACCCCCGTGGTTACCAACTCAGCATCGGTACCTGTTGTTTGGGGCCTGGCCTTCTGTGTTATGGCTGGGGCTGTCAGGTAGTCGTCCTCAGCGTCTCCAGAGAGATCATCCGAAAAATCCGAACAGCTGCCGTGGAGGGCCGCCATGGTAGGCTCCGTCGTGCCTCGTGCTTGCCTCCACATTTCGCCAATCGTCCGCCCAGAGGTAGGCCTGTCTGGTCCCGTTTTTTTTTTTTTTTTTTTTCATTTTGCTTTGCTTTACTTTAGGGGGGTCTCCGCCGTTGTTTGGGGGTCTGTGAATGTTATTCGGGTTAATTAATCAGTTTTTCCGACGTTTGGCGCTCGGAGCTCTAGGTTCCTGCGACTGCTTTCCTCGGCAGTTCGTCCACGCCCCCACAATTAGAACTTTTACAACTGCGTAGTAAGAGCACTATTAGACGCTTCTATTTGACTCTCAGATATGAAGAGCAGGCCCCAAAATGTACTATTTAGCAGATTAGCACCCAGAAAATAAGAATTTTTACA